TTCGATCCCCGTCGGCACCAATGAAATTGTTGCAATTTTATATAGTAATCGTATATAGACTTTACTTTTTTTACTTTTATAATTATATTATATTACAGACGAAAATTTTACAATATTGTCTGTCGTCCAAAACGCATCATCTCTTTCAATTATATCAATTTCCATGCTGTCTTTTGTCTTTGGCGTCCAAATTACAAAATAGCAAAACTTTTCGTTTCTCGAATAAGCCCGCGTCACCGCCCGTGCATGTGTGTGTAAGCGTCGTCCTCCCGCACCGCACCGGGGGAAACATTATTCAGTGAGATGCACGATAATTCATAGTAACATACGCGCGTAAAAAAATACGAAAAGGCCTTTGGAAGAAGGGGTTTTATGAAAAAACCACTGCATAAATCAATTACGAATAAAATTTATTGAATTCTTCGATAATTGAGCTGTGTCGGTACCGACTTTGTTTTGGAAATTTTACACTTCTTTTATTACTAATTTACGCCCAAAGTTGTGTTAAAATTGGCAATAAAAACGAATCTTTGGTAGCCCGTAACATTTTAATAACATTTTATTTTACTATTCTGTTTCCGTACAGACAAATTTAATAATGAGACAAAACGATATCATGTTTAACTTTGGATGTACACTGTCAAACAGCGAAGTAAAACCCCTCCGAAATTTGTATGGAAATATTGTCGACTAGTGTCACCTTAAGGCCTTAACAGTGGTTGAAATGCCTAAATCTAGGATATTTAAGTAAAAAAATCTCAATAACTGTTCATTTAATCCACAAAGAAAAAATACAGGGTAACAGAAGAAGACTTGGTAAATGTTTTTAATTTAACAAAATTGTATTTTTGTCAACCCCTTATTAGAAAAAAAATCCCCAAAGAGTACCTATCTTTGTCATATTTTGCAAAATTTCTCCAAAACGGCGCAAGCTTTTTAAATAGTTCTTACACTAAAAAAAAGGTCTTAAAAATATTAATATTTTTAATTGAGAGTTTTATTTTTATTACCCGTTTTATAAGAGAATATATCATTTTTCCCTGAAATTGAATATATTTACGCGAGCGCGCATGCTCCGTCGCCATGTAAGCTCTGTCACAGTCCGTTTTCGGACATCGTCGAGGGTGGACTGCACGTCGGTGTTAGAGCGACTTCGTTTAAATATATATTAGTTTTTTAAAAGTTTATACTCAATTATAAATATTTTTATGACTAGAAATACTTAATTTAGTTAATATCTGTACTCTGGTAACTGTAAATATTATTTTATAAATAAATGAATTTTTAAAGTGCCCAAAGAAGAAGAAATTTTTGCGGCGACGTTGATTAGTGAAATTGAAAAATGCATTTTTATATAATTTAGATGTGGAACGACGAACATGCTCTCGTTACTTAGATTGCGATAGTTTTTAATACCTATGTAATTTTATTGTTGCATATTTTTATTAATTAGTTGATAATGAATTTTATAATTATGTATTACAATAAAACGCTGTTTTTATGAGTATGACTTTATAAAATATTATTGGGGAGGGAAATATAGATACAGATATTAGATTACGTTTAGGTACACTGTTAACAAATTAAATCAAACAATTTAAATAAATAAAAGAATGGTGCTTCCCTAAGTATAAATAACTATATAAAGACATTCTTGGGTTTATGGTTTTTTTTTTATCATCTAAAAAATGTAAAAATTTTAAATTGGAGAGGGGTTTCTCTACGTGATAAAGTTAGAAATGAAGGTATTTGCATTAGAACCAGAGTAACTGACATAGCTCAACGGAATATTACAGTGAAATGGCAATGGGCTAGCTATATAACTTGGAAAACATATAAAAAATAGGAAGAAAGGTCCTCGAGTGGCAATCTCGTACAGGTAAGCGAATTAGTACTTAACCTTTATTCCTCTTCACGTATTCTCATACGCTTTTCTTCACACATACACACACACACACACACACACACACACACACACACACACACACACACACACACACACACACACACACACACACGCACACGCGCGCAAGCACGCACGCACACACACATAAATAGGTCGCAAATAATACTTACCTAGTACTATTAGGCAAGAGTGAATAGGTTTTTGTTAAGTCAGTGCAATTCACCATCTTAGACTACATAACCACTTACCGATGGGATTGTAGTTGCTTTACTACTTGCTGGGTAAAAATAGTAAAAAAAAATTTACCCTGTGAAAGTTTGCATTTAGATATAATTTTTCTAACCAACCTTAAAAATATGATGAGAATATGTATATAAGTATAAAGGTTGCCTCACATGGGACAGTAATAATATAATATTATATATTCCATTATCTCTGAAATCCGAGGTACGTTCGAGGCTGAATAGAGCAACATTGAAATGCATGGGGATGGTTTTGTAATTTCACGTCATTATCGAAAAAAAAATTGTACGTATTTCAGGTGGCGGTTTGCAAAACACGATTCCACAAAAATTAACTCAATAGAAAATAATTGCAAAGTTGCTTCTAAAAATACTTAAATTTTCAACGTCAATTTTTTTTTACGTGGTAGAGCCATGCTACAGCTTTATTTATTAGGTATAGTTGTAGCACGAATGGGTCAGCTCGACCGGGGAAGGGCCACGCTCTCACGGAATAACATGTAAAATAGCAGTTTAACCCTGCTGTGTTTCGTATGGTGAGTGTAGAGAACCGGAGGACCTTTTTACTGGAAACGAGGCATTACATCTTAGTCCTCACGGGTGACAACGCATCTACATTTTGATACGTAATCGAGAATAAATGTAGATGTGTATGGGCCGTAGCAACCACTTACCATCAGGTGGACTGTGTGCTCGTTTGTCACCCTTATTCTATTTAAAAAAAACTTTCTGACATTTCAGTAAAATAATGTTAAGTATTGTATGCACTCGTACAATTATGTCTCATGTTAATACAGCTATTGTGCTATTTTGATTTGTAATAAAGTGATTTTACTTTATAGGTTAAATAATTTATTTACCTTTTTATATAAAGAACCGTTTTTCTGTCACTCCTATTGAATTTGACAGTGCTTGCTGAAATTTAGCATTTTTAGATGGATCAGAATCGCCCGCTGATCCGGCTGTTAGATATTGCAAAAATAATCGAAAGTATTTATTTTTACTTTCATGCCCAAGACTACCTTGTTTTATTTTATTACGGTCAAATAATATTTATTAGGTTATAAAGCAAGTATTTTTGTAAATGTTTTGTATGTAAATGTAAATGTTTTCATTATTTTGTTATTCTATTGTTTACAGTTATTATCACGTCTTAGCTTTACACCAAGAATTACATTAGAAATTCTTGATGGGATGCGATGTAACGCGCATACATTATTTTCATCAAGAACTATAATATATATATATATTTGTTTTTTTTACCAGTAGAGTTTCAACAAAATCTTAAAAAAGTTCAATGAATTAAAAAAATGCCAATAATTATATAATTTCAAGTCAGTGTTTTACATTTAAAGATCAGTTATAAAGAGCCAATGTTATTATTTTCATTTTGATTAATTTAATTCGAGACTAAAATAAATGTGAACGGGCTTTTATCTGCAATAATAATTTTCATCAAAAATAACATAGACTTATAAAAGTCATATACACGGTCAATCATACTGAAGATTATCAATTGTACTACAAAATATATAAAAGACTATTTCCAGTATAATGACCTGAATATCATCATTAATGTTTGACTGGCACACTTAAAAGTTTTATCACATGGCTAAATGATTGACTTTTATATTATGATAAGGTCATGCTTTTCTATAAAAAGTTGCAAGAAATTTTAATTCCCGGCCCTATTGGTTTGTTGTACTTTTTACTTAATTAGTGAAAAACAAAATGGACTGATCTAAAAGTTTACTTTCTTGTGTAAAAAGTGCTATTTAGAATTTTATGCAAATGATAATTAAAGTTTCTATGTAAATAAGTGTAATATAGCGGAAATTATATTCAATAGTAGCGGCCATCCGTATTTGCAAAGCCAGCATCATTTTCTGTACAGAAACCGGCAAAGTGTTGCTCAAGGCACTAGCAAAGCAGCTGATAAAATGTTACACTCATAACTGTCAACAAAAACTGTTTTCGCCAATGGTCTTATAGATAATAATAACTATTCCGCCGTGTTAGGTGCAGGAGCTATTATTAGGAGGAGAAGAGGTAAAATTTTGTTTTAGAAATGCGCAATCAATATTGTTTTGTCTGCAATTGAGCATAAAATAAAAAATAACTTCAGCCAAAGAGCATAACTGGCATTATACTCAGGCCCATCAATTGGTATGGAAAAAAATAATTTTACCAGGTTTCAAAAAATCAATCAAAATTCAAAAAACATAAATATTAAGATCAAAAAATGTATATATGTATGTCTATACATACATATAATGATTTATGACGGTGACTCACTATAACATCCTACAGTCACGCCGAAACTAAGAGGAGAGAATCACTGTAGAAAAGGTAATAATGTATTGCGGAAATTTTGTGATTAAATTTAAAAATTTAATAAAAATTAAAAAAAATATAAACTTATTCAAGTTAATCTAACTTAGTCTAACTTATCCTTATGCGTACAAAAAAAACAAATAATAAGATAGTGAGATGGCGTCAGTTTTTAAGGAGATATAACAAAAATAAACAAAAAAATAAATTTCAATAAAGTTCAGTATTTAATTGATTATATATCGCTGACACTTAATCACGCTTTTCGAAACAGTTGTAAACAATACTTGTGTGAAAAGACAAAATCTTCTTTTCAAATTTCCGCCGAGTTGTAAGTAGAAGGCCAAACAGGTCACGTGTCAATTTTAATTAAATATATTTTATATGAAGTGATCTTGACTACGTTTCATCAATTAACCATTGGTAAAAATTAAAACAGGAATTTTAAGATTGTGTTTACAAAAAACATTATTAGTTGAACCTTGCAGCTTGTTCATTATTTTTATTATAAATACCTATAAATGTATATATTATTAATAAATAGTTCCCACAATATATTGGATTATTTATTATTTTGCCCTATCTGCAATGATCTACGCTCTATAGAAAATGTGGCGTATGACGTGACTGACAATCTTTCGAACGTTTTATCTAGGTACAAAGATGTTTTACGTTTTCGTCGCCTCCACATGATATTTTTGTCAGCATAAGGTACCCTTCTATATCTGAAACGAATATAAAAGTAACGAATATAAATTGCTACAAAGTAAAGTAATATGCTATACAATTCCCTCTACTGGGCACAGGACTCTTTTTTGATTTCTGAGAGGGTTTTAGGGCAAGGAAATGCCCGCCGTGCTTCCCCAATGCGTGTTGACGAAAATTGTAATTACAAATTTTATTCGTGCTGTCGGGGATCAAACCCGGGAAAATTTACAGCGAACGTTTTGACGACATATTTTTAATACGACACAAATAAATACGATTTAACATATATAATTAAAATTCTTACGTACTTGAAATTTGAACACTTGATAGCTCGTGATGCCTACCCGACAAAGCTACAGCACCACACCGTGCAATGTAATTGAAGATGCGTAACCGCGACATAATTCTCAGTGATGCGCAAGCATAACAGGCAGTATGTCACTTATGTAATTGTCATGTCTGCAGTCTATTAATCTTTGCACTTTTATAAGTAATACAGAACGTAGTTGCTAGACGGTGTTGACATCGGCTAAAATCTCTGCGATCGCCGTTTCGTCAAGGTCATTCAGGCTAGTTAAAGCCTTAAAGAGAAAAAAGGAAACACACTGCCCTTTTTACGTAAAATAATAAATATAATAATGACTCAAATAAACGTAATCTTTATCTATTCTAAGTTGGGAATGTGCTTTTTAAGAAATTACTTTAGCTTGGAATAGGTACATAAATACTTCTCAAAAGAATAAGATCGCAAATACGGTGTAAGAAAATGATGCTGAAGTGGTTAATATGCGTCTACATTACGCCCGCTATAGAGATAAGTTAATGTTATTTTAAGTAAGTCTGTCAAAGTAACTTACAAGTACAGATACTGATGAAAATAATAATCTAAATAATAGCTATAGTTTCGATACAGAACACTAATATATTTGCAGTGAGGTGGCAGAGTAAGCGAATACGTTACTCTTATTAATTGTAATGGACGACGACAAGATACAATTATTCAAAAAGAACGGCGTTTAAAAATTCATTATTATTTAAAAAATGTACCTAGATAATTTTAAAATTTTTACTCTTGTATTCCATAGACATCCAGATCCAAAGTTACAGGCTATATATCTATCATTTCTGATAGAGTTTTTGGGCAAGGAAAAGTCCGCCGCGCTGCTCCAAATGCATATTTGCGAACTTCACCTGTCTTCGTAACATTTTTTTTCTTTATTTCTCAGACATGTAGGTTTCCTCATGACGTTTTCCTTCACCGCTGAGCATGTGGTAAATCAGCACTTAAAATGGCAATTAATAATTTCATTGGTACTGGTATAGGGATCGAACCCGGGTTGCTCGCGTACTGTGAAATTTACAGCGAGCGCTTAGCCCCTGACCTACCACGGCTCTACATCTACCATGGCTCAATTATAATGAAAATATCTACACAGTTACTTTGTTGATATGACTTTTTCGTTCTACGACTTTATAACTAGCTGTTCCCCGCGACTTCACCCGCGTGGATTTATTTTTCACGGAACCCTAAAATAAAAGCAGCCAAGTTACTCCTTATAACATCAGCTATCTGCCAGTGTGTATAAATATTGACATTAATATTTATACGATACTAACGTCACTCAATTGTTTTGCCCTCCCAGAACACTTCAAACTTTATGGTATGGTATTAAAGTTCAAATTGACTTATAAACATTGTAAAATCTTACCAGTTTATGACCAAATTAAATTCATGTTATTAATAGCCCACTCAACGAAGACTAAAACCTGCCAAATAGGGGAAATAACTCGTGTAAAATCGATTTTTGGCATAGTTGTAGGGAATGGTATCTTAAACAACATACTCATAGTACTGATGGATGGGGGTGAAGCTAACGGGTAGGGGGGGATGTAAAGGTCCCTTTTTTTAAGTTTTTTTAAATAACTCGTAAAAGGTGGCTCATAGCAAAATAATTTCTGTTATTCGAGTAATCTACATAAAATTCTCTACAAAAAAGGTTCTATACACTTATTCGCTGTGATCAATATTTAACGAGATATTAATGGAGAAAAGTGAATTATGATCAATTCTCGCGTCTTAACGTTCGGAAATGGTTCAGTGAACATCCCCCATTTCCAAAGTTGAATTCGATAATATCCCTGTCAACGGGCAACGGGGAAATTCCAAACTAAACTGCCACTAAGCTCTAGATATAGGCACCAAAACGATGCAAAATTTCATTGGCAGCAAATTCAGTAACATGAAGCAGTCTAAGAAGAATGTGGTTTTGTCACTAGCCAGTATGATCAGTAGCATTAAAGTCAATGTTAAGACAGTTACTATTAACCCTTTAACGATTTTCCAAAGAACTGTAATAGCAAAAAAGAACGACGAAGATGTTGGAGACCTTTTGACTTATGTACAAACCCCATTACCCATGGCTCAGTGATGTCAACAGCAAAAAACGATCAGAGCAGAAGCGACGAGGTCTGACTAAAACGTCGGTTGATATTATTTATAACGAAAATACGATCATCACTGTTCAACAGGAGCATTTCCTCGCTAATGAGAAGAATAAAACGAGGCTGATTCTGTTCCTCACCGAGAAAATGACAGCAGCAGGGATTGAAATAACTGTTGCAACAGGAGATGGTGATGGTACTATTGTCAGGTGCGAGTTGGATAAGGCTGCCGTTCATCCAACTGTTGTAATAGTTGGGGAGGATGTTGATTTGATAGTCCTCCTCGTGGGATTGGCTCCACCAAATATCAACCTGTTCTTTATGAAACCAGGCCGTGGAAAGGTGGAGACCAAATTGTTTTCAGTGCGACAACTTCAACAGCTTCCATTTGACAAGACAATTCTCCTTCTTCACAGCTTTTTCGGATGCGACACCACCTCCGCAGTCCATAGCAGGATCAAAGTGGGAATTGTTAAGCTGTTCAGGGCTAAACCAGACGTGACCCAGAACATCTCAGACATTTTCAGTGGGATTTCAACATCACCTGAGAGTATTGAACACGCTGGCATGAAACTGTTTCTGGCAATTTACCAAGCGCCTGTCCAGGTACAAAATCACAATAAATACCGCTACTCAGCTTTTTTGAGAGCATCGATGAAGCCGAAATCAGATCTGGCCACTTGTCCTCCCACCAGAGGAGCTTCGAAGCAGCACTCGTTGAGTGTACTTACAGGTATCATTAATCACAGAAGTTGTCAAATACTGTAATATAAATATATATTTGAGCTAAATACTTACGTTGATCTTATTACTTCTTTTACATATACAACAAGGGCTCGGCAACCCCCTCCCACCTATTCAATGGGGTTGGGTCAGAGGGACGATGATATCCTAAAGCCGATGACAACCAACGATCCAGTGACACCTGAGTCCATTCTCAACACCATATTTTGCCGATGCAGGACTGGGTGTGGGGTGCGATGCGGTTGCCGGAATGCAGGAATTGCCTGCTCTAGTGTCTGCCTTGTATGCTCCGGCTCATGTACTAATGGAGCCCCGATCGAAAACACCGTCGACGATGATTTTGATGATGATATTTTAGATTTAGAAGATAATTAGATTTTTTTATTTTGTTATTGTCCATCTTCTTTTCTTCATATCTCATAAAATATTGATCCCAGCGAAAAAGTGAATAAATTTTTTTTTATAGAGAATTTTATGTAGATTACTTGAGTAAAAGAAAAATTTTTGCTATGAGCCACCGTTTACGAGTTATTTAAGAAAAACTTCAAAAAGGGACCTTTACACCCCTCCCTACCCGTTAGCTTCACCCCCATCCATCAGTACTTTGAGTATGTTGTTTAAGACACCATTCCCTACAATTATGCCAAAAATCGCTTTTAAACGAGTTATTTCCCCTATTTTTCCTTCATTGAGTGGGCTATAAAGCAATATTTCTATTAATCGATAACATAAAGTCATACATAGATCAACCTGTACGTACGCACGCTATGACACAAAACCGGTTCCGGTACATCACTGCTAATAATGTCTACGGGCAACGGACCGCCGCTTATCAGGTACCGCATTTAATAAATAATTTACCTTTCGATTTACGCGAAAACATTTCACAAAAAAACATTAAAACTAAACTCAAAAGCTTTTTCATATCTAAATTATAATTGCCTACTATATCTACTTACTTAACAATAACATACCTATCTGCCTAGTTCTTACTTTTACATTGCTACTACTTTAACCAAGTTGTTAACTTACCTTCGTAGTCTTTATATTCTTACTATACATACTAACTACTCACATAACCTAACAACTTACTTAGACTGTGTCTTGCACATAATATGCTGACTTAAGGCGCAGGTTGAGCAAAATGTCGCGCTAGTCGTTATTTGTGCTGTTTTTAGGAGCTATCTACGTTTTATTTAAAACATATATCAATAAATAAAAAACACATTATATTTCTACATAATCTTTATTCCATAAAAGCTATATCCAATTTTTTTTTAAACGAATAAATATTAATATAATCTCCTTACAACGAAACCACATAAATGTGAAATTATTATTGATAACATGCATCTCCTCGTAAAGTAAGTATTATTTTATTTTGCGATTTACACCAATGGATAGGCAATTTATTAATGAACATTTCTATAGTAATTTTTTTTTTTCAAAAGACCAAAATTTGATTTTATTAAGAATTTATTTTAAAATCTGGGCATATTCACTGCTCACGGGCTTGCTGAAGTCAGTGAGCCCTGAGCTCTTCGACGCGAAGCCGTGTCGTTAGAGCGTCGACCAGCACATACACTCACGTCATATTAGTCGATAATAATATTACTTATTAGGTTATTTATAGGTAGTATTATTTGTTTGTTTTGGGTATAATTTTTCGTATTAGTTATACACATAGGTTATACATATATTTGTTGTGTTTTTTACTGCGCGATGAAGCTTTTTGCGTGTATTTTCTTTGAAGTAAATGCAAATAAAAAAATGAAGCACCATTAGCATGTAAGGTTCGAATCCATAATTAAAATTTCGACAAATATTATAATTTACACTATAAAAGGCTAATTCAATATTATCACCCAACCACAATATCTTATTAGGTATAGTACCGCCTCGTTGGTCTAGTGGTTGTAGTAGTGCGAGTGCTGATCATGAGGTCTCGGTTTCGAATCCCGGGTCTTGTCAAAAAGTCAGTTATGAGTTTTTGGCCCGTTTTTGTTTTTATTTATTGCTTGTTTTTTCTTCTTTTTCAAAAAAAAATAAATAATTGAGTACATAAGATGTTCTATACGCCGAATGTCAGAGAGAAAAGCTAGTACATCTTTTGCTAAACTTTTAAATCTAAAACCAATTTTAAAAGACGAATTGATCATAACTCCCTTAGCTATAAAATAAGTTATGATCTAATTAATGGTATTTATTCCAGTTTATGGCAGCTCTGATTTATATTACGTGGCTGAAATTAGGTACATCTTATTAGGTACGTCAAACCAAATAACAGCCGGGCGGCTGACATTATGCACTCCATACATTTCTTATATTATCTAATTACAGTCCCATTAATTTCCACTAAAAGAAAAACTAAAAAAAAATAACTGCATTACTATGTCTATAGTCATATTCATACAAATCAAAAAGCCTATATATGAGATAATGTAAAGTAAGCATAATTTTACCGGGATCATAACTTGTCAAATAATTAGGAAAATGATCGTTTTTCGTTGCGTACCTGTTTTGATTTTAACACTGTTAGGTTTAAAACTGCGAGGTAATATTTGAATAAATATAGTTTCCTCTAGGTACAAAGAATTTTTTAGATGAAAATATTTGTAGTTAAGACTACTAGAAATCTTATTTATGGAGTAAAAAGGCGAAAAGACTGCAATTAGGGGCATGACTGGTATTAGGGGCTTCTACCCTAATTCGGTAAAAAGTATCTAAGTAGGTATTAATATACCTACTTTTTACTATAAACTAAAATTTTTTTAAACTAAATTTAACTACAAAAAACTAAAGTGACCATTTATTTTTTTAACTCAAAACAGGACATGGGTTTATTTACTCTCTAAAAACTATAACTTTACACAGTGTTCAATATAAAATTATATTCGGTATAGACGGTAATTATTAAATGCAACATATTTTTTTTAATTATTAATTACATTTGTCAGTGGATTAAATTTGCTTTAATAAAGTTGGTGATAATTATAAATAAGAATAAAATTCTGCTTAAGTTTTTTTATTGTTAACAACATCGCCTTTAGAACTGGAACCGTAAGTGTTTCTTTCAGACGTCCACAATTTGTTCAAAATAAAAAAAAATATTCTTTCTACTGGAGCATTTGTACCAGGGAGACATAAAATATATTCGATTAAAAAAAATTAAGTTGAAGATTGTTGACTTTGAATACTTCCATCCAACGAGTTACGGGACAATTTTGTGTCCCGGAGCTTTGTTTGGGGACAATGGGACAGGTGACTGAGAAAAGGGACAGTCCCGTTCAAAACGGGACGTATGGTCACTTTAGCTATAAACCGGCGACGGCTCCGTGGCGCACTGGCTTAGCAATCAGTTGCTGCACTGGGGGCCGCGGGTTCGAATCCCGCACGGAACAAGTATTTGTATGGCCTACAAATAATTGTTCCGGGTCTGGATGTTTGTCCTTGTGCAATTTATGTTTGTAAACTGCCTCCACGACTCTCATTCTATATTACTCTCACTCTGCGAAACATCCTATTTATTTATTTATTCTTTATTGCACCAAATATTTGTACAAAAGGCGAGCTATCTATCTATTTACCTATAGTGAGTAGGTATCTTTTAAACTCACAATTTTCAATGCTTCATTTTTAATATATAATTAATTATAAAATTTCATAATTAGATAATATTATATGAGAATACATAACTCTAATATAATGCAACTAATATACCGAATAAAAAATTTGAGATACATTTATCGTTGTACGCTGTGTGTATTTCCATAAAATAGTTTATTGATGTTGAAAAAATACTACGTTCTTACAGTAGGTGGCGCCTTACATATTTCTTACTTGATATTATATTGTAGCGAGTCGGCGCGGCACACCAAATGCTCAAGGTCGTTCGCATAGAGTAGCCCCTTAAACTAAATTATTTAACATCAAGTCAAACCTCCGTGGTTTTTAGATGTTAATTAGACCTATACATGTATTCTCTTCTTTTGATCTGATAAATAAACTAAAAAAAAAAGTATTATTACGAATCTTTTGTATGGGAATATAGAAAAGTGTTATTTTTAGACTTTTACGGGCAATTTTTTAAAATTTTTCTCTCCGTAAGAACTATCTTCGTACTTCAAGGAATATTATAAAAAAAGAATTAGCGAAATAGGTTCAACTGCCTTCGAGATTTGCACTTAGCAACACATTCAGCGATTCATTTTTATATTATAGATAGCATGTCATCTCAACTTGT